GAGCACTGGCAGATCGTGCTGAGCGGGAGCCAGCCGGCCTGGCACGCACACTTTTAATGGCATTCCAGCCGCGGGGCCTGGCACGCTCCCTCGGTCCCTGTCTGCACCGCTCCGGCCTGGCCCAGAGCTGGGCGTCAGGAGGGAGCGGCTGTCCCCCTCGGTGGCCTTCCCCCAGAAAAGGCTCAGGACGAGGCTCCAGCCCTCCCCCACAGACACACACAGCTTGGTCTTTGAGGGATGCCACGGCTGTCGGGCTGTAGCTCCAGCCTCGGTGCTGTCTGGTCACCCTGGGTCCTCTCCCGTTCTCTCCCTCGTCATGCCCAGTCCTACCCCAGCTGACTCCGGTCCAGGTCACCGGCAAGCTCATGTGGACCTGGACCATGGCCTCGCTGGTCTCCCTGATCTCCTTCTGCCCCGCTGTCGTCTGGACTCAACAAAGCATCCAGAACAGTCCTTTAAGTCCTTTAAAATCTCCAGCCACATCCGGCCACTCCTATTCTTTAAACCCCTGATGGCTTTCTGCCTGGTTCCAAATGAAGCCTGAAATCCCTAACGTGGCCCCGAAGACGTGATCAGACTTGTCTGCCTCTGCTGCCACTGCCCCATCCCGTGAGCCTTTATGCTGCCCCTCTCCCGGCCGCTGCGGGCTGGCCTCATTCCCTTCATGGCCCATGGCATGCTTCATCCTAATAAAAGCTTGTGTCTGTCAGGATAGGCCCAGCCATGCTGCAGTAACAAACACCCCCAGGTCTCAGTGGCTCCCATCACAGAGGGCGGTGTCTCACTCTGTCATGGCTGTCAGTGGAGGGAGGGGCTCTGTTCATCCCTCATAGCCACCCTCTGGAGTATCGCAGGTTGCTGTCCTTCAGGAAAAGAGAGAGATTCTCAAGAGGCTGGTCATGGCAATGGAATGAGGCTCAGAAGAAAGACCTGCCATTTCTGCACATCCTTTGTCCAGCCGCTGGCTCTGTCAACCACAAGGGACCGCAACGTGTCATCTCACCACGTGGCCGCGAGTGGAAGGGGTCGGCCACTACTGATAAACAGCACTAGTGATGACCGTGATGGCCGAGTCTTCTGTGTGTGTGGCATCAATAAAGTGCCTTGGAGTGTCTTCCAACCCAGGGATTGCCAATGGTGGCAGCCAGCCGCTGGGCGTAGGGTAGAGTAGATGGTGGAGAAGGAGGGCTGTGGGGGAGGGTTGGCTGCCTCAGCTCACGCTCAGGGAGGAAGATGAACGAGGCTGAGGTGGGCTGGACCAGCCCAATTGCTGCATGGAAGCAAACACGCTGGCCATTGGTCAGGTCCTTCAGGCCAAGGGCGCCTGGTCCTTAGCTCCTGATGTCTTCGATTCCTCCATGGGAGAGTCATTCCTTTGCTGCTAAAATGCCATTTTCCATTTTGTGTCCCATCTGCTATGAGAGGTAAACAGGATTCCTCGGTCAAGCAGAGTATGAGTGGCTAGGCTGGCCAGAATCAAACTGGCGCTTCCCCTGCAGGCCTCCTCAGCGCCACGTCTAACATGCTGATGTGTGTTCTCTCCGGTGAGGGACCAACGTGTGCATTCCCTCCTTTCCTCCCGAGTGGTCAACGGGGTGGCTTCGGAAATGCTGGTCTGGAGGCCTTTTCAGTCCCAGTGAGGCCCCTGCGGGAAGCAGGTGTCCTGGGGAGGGGAGGGGGAGTATTTTCACGGGAGAAGGAAAGCGGGGCAGGCAGGGCCTTGACGGAGCGGGACTGGAGTCAGTGATCCAGGAGGCGCAGGCCCAAAGGGAGAGGAGGCCAGACACTCTTCCGGCCCTGAGGCCTTGCCCTGCCCCCAGACAGCTGTATTTCTTGTCTGGACTCAAACCACCCGTCACAGACGGAATCTTATTACTGCCCTCGGCACCTGTATTTTAACGTCTATGTCTGTCCTTCTAATCTGAGAGCCCCTCTGGTTAGGGCTTTATCTTTAAATCTTTCATTGGCAGCAGATAGATGCCTAATAATTAGTTGAATGAATGAGGCACAAGCTCGGAGCAGCAGGCGGGTTAAAATTCCCGACATACACCACGTGAAAGGATTTCCCAAATTGAAATAATCGATTCCGCCTATCGTTGTTCCTCACGTGCTGGTTCCCTGGTTTCCTGGAGCCTGTGGCCTCTCCTCTCAGCATCGCCTCCTCTCTGACCTGTCCCTCCCTCCTGGTCATCTCCCGCCAGGCTGCTGGGCCGCCTGCCTCTCCTGGGGGTGGCGGTGAAGGTTTGGGTTGTGAATGGCCTGCCTGAGGCTGTTTCCCTGAGTAGGAAGTCCATGTGTCTCCAGAAGACACGCTGGAAGGGTGGGGAGGTGTTTGTTGCTGTTGTTTTTAAGAGGAGGTTGGCTTTAGTGATGGCGTGAGAAAGGGGAGACCAGGAGGAAACTGTGAGTAGAGACACAGAAAGTTTACCAGCAGTGCCAAGACTTCTGTGTGTCCTTTCTCTATTTCCTTTTACATATCTTCATTGCTTTCAGAGAGGAAGGGAGAAGGAGAGAGAGAAACACCAGTAATGAGAGAGAATCACTGATGGCCGCCTCCCGCACGCCCCACCCCGGGCCCTCCGGTCCTTTTGGGTCGCACTGTTCCCTCCACCTGGAATGTGTCCCTCATCCCAGCGGCAGCCTCCGCCCGTCCACCTGACACACGCCTGCCCGGACTCCAGGCCCAGCTCGAATGTCACCGTCCCTTGCCAGGTTTAGCAAATTAAAACACAGGATGCCCAGCTGAATTTCAGATAAACAATGAGTAATCATTTTAGCCTAAGCCTGTCCCAAACATCTCACGTCCCAGGTCTCACACGAGACAGAGTCAGAGGAAGAAACGGTGCGGTTTATCCGAGATTCCCAGGGGCTGGCTCCCCTCCGTGGTCCCTGACTCCTTTTCCGCTCAGGTCTCCTTCCACCTGCTGCCCCGGAGGCGTTCCAGCACTCTCTGTGCACCTGTCACCACACTCCCCCGCCTGGCTGTGTCATCGTCCCCTCACCTGCCGCGGCGGGAGGTGTCACACATGAGCAAGCGGTGCTTTCCCTCGCTTCCCCGATCCGGTTACCCTGGGGGGTGACGTGGCAGCATCATCGCATGGGGTTTATTTTCACTCAGGATGTTTGTGACGAGGCGGGAAGTTAACTCTTGCATGGGATCACAGCGACACCGCTGTTACCAGATACATGTCCTGAGCAGACAGCTCATTACCTGGTGGAGCCAGCCCGTGGCCGAGCCCAGCCCGTGGCTGACACCTCCACCTTCCCCGCCGCAGCCCTGAGAGGTGGGCAGTGTGGGCTCTTGGGCTCCCACCCCTCGCAGGTCTGGCGTCAAACAGCACATCAACAGTGGCCCAAGCAGGTCCCTGCGGTGAGGGGGAGGGCCTTCTGTTTTGGGGACTTAGGCTCAGGAGCTTCTGATCACCCACTTAAAAAAAAAAAAAATAAATAAAATAAAAAAAAAATATATATATATATATATATATATATTATGATTTTTTTACAGAGAGGAAGGGAGAGTGATAGAGTTAGGAACATCAATCAGCTGCCTCCTGCACACCCCCCACTGGGGATGTGCCCACAACCAGGGTACATGCCCTTGACCAGAATTGAACCAGCTAAACCGGTTAGGGCCACACTCCTCTTTTTAATTAAAAAACAAAACAAACAACAGGCACGGTTTGATCTTATTGAACTCAAATGTTTTCTAAACTTATTTGATCAGGGAACTACCCTCCCAGCCTGCTTTTTCTGAGGGGCACCCTACTCAGTCAGTCAGTCACCCTGGGAGCACACCTTGGGGAGTGGGAGTGAGCAAGTGCTTTACAACCTTTGCATTCCCTCCACAAGGCCCTCACTTCGTTCCACAGTGTGGAGAGAGGAAGCCTGCAGGCCTCGGGGCCGCCTTGTCTGGTGCTTACTGCTGAGCCCAGGGTCGGAGTCAGGAGTTGGGGAGTGGAGGAGTCAGGGAGTCCTGGGGAGGGCAGGTGGCTCAGGCAGGCCCTGCCCGGTGCTGGGAGCCTGTGCTGGCGGCCACTCAGAGAGCGTTAAGAGCACCGGCTTTTGTGTGGGGTTGAAAACACCTCCCAAGGCCACCTTTGAACAGTGACAAGTCCGCCTGGACCATCCCCTGGGCGTGCCATCTGAGGAGCAGGCGTGCCCTCCTCCCCAACCATCTCCTCTTTTCAGTGTGTTTTTCTCGCCCAGAACACACTGAGCTCAGGCCCTCATCTGCACAATTCCGGGGTGCTGCAGCCTTGCACAGAGAACTGGTGTGAGCGGCGTCTCTCAAGTCTGTGGAGGGGGCTCCATCCGGGGTGTGCCCGTGGGGCTGGCCAGGATGAGCTACTCCTCAAGTACCACCTCCGTGTCGCCTCTAACACAGGCGCTGTGCTATCTTCTACTCTGACATCTTAACTCCGTGGTCGGCAAACCGCGGCTCGCGAGCCACACGCAGCTCTTGGGCCCCTTGAGTGTGGCTCTTCCACAAAATACCACGGCCTGGGCGAGTCTATGTTGAAGAAGTGGCGTTAGAAGTAGTTTAGGTTTAAAAAATGTGGCTCTCCAAAGACATTTCAATCGTTGTGCTGTTGGTATTTGTCTCTGTGGACGGATGAGTTTGCCAATCACTGGCCTAACTGGATTCCTGATAGCATTTGTCACCACCTGGATTGCTAGGTATTCTTCCTTTTTTGCATATTGTCCTTCTCCACTCAAATGGCACATCGACTCCACGGGGCAGAGGCTTATGTTTGGCCACTTAGGGGAGGCGGGGGCTGGTGCCTGGAACAGCACCTGGCACAATGTAGACACCCCCTAACTGTTGTGTGAACAAAGGATGTTTTTTCCTACTTGGGTGGGGATTGGCTGTGGAGAGTTGATGGGCCAGGCCATGGACCAACCAGCGGCTCTTCGGTGGGGAAGCGAACAGAGTGCTTGTGGACGGCTGCCTGGCCCAGCCCTGGGCCCAGGCCCTTGAGGAAGCACAGAAGGACAGAGAGCAATAGAAATGAGCTTTTATTTGTAAAAAGTTACAAAATGATATTGTACAAAAATAAAGTCTGTAGAGAACTTTGGTTGAGTAACACAAACGACCGAGACAGATCAGAGAAGTCAGAACTTCCAAAGAAGGGCCCTCCTCACTGGACCAGGCGGTGATCGCAACGACAGAGAAAAATCACAAACTTTACCCTTCCGTGCACTTGGCGAGGACGGGCTCCGTTAGAACCGGCTGGGTGTGCAGGCGATGCTACGGCGTGTGGGTAGGACCCACTGAGTCCTACAGCCCTCTGGGCAGGGGCTCCCCACGGGGAGCTGGGGCTCACTGAGTGGCCCCCGGGACACCAGCCCCCAAGCTTGCCAGGCCTCTGGATGGAACAGACGCCTCTGGGTGGGGTGGCATCTAGCTGTTTCTGGTGTGACCAGAGGGCTGGGCTGGGTGCCCCGCTCTGGCCCCAGGGGAGGGTTGGGGAGAGGAAGCGCCTTCCCTCCATTCCCAAGTTGTGCGAGAAGGGACGGAGAAGGGCAGAAGCATGGCAAGCGTGGGTGTTGGGGGTGGGGAGAGGGATGTCTGGTAACTGCTGCCTCCTGGTTACTTTGTGAGATTAATAGGATTCGAGGGAGGTCAGTGGGGTCTTTTTGTGGCTAACCCTGTCAGACGTGGGGGCTAGCAGCCACTCAGGCAGTGACAGAGGATCTCCTCGGTAAAAATTCCTTTCATGAAGCGTGCCCCACGCTCTGGCACAGGGCACGGTGGACTGTGCAGGCACCAGCTGCCGGCAACCCACAGGCTGGGGTCTGGGCTCTTGGAGGTGGCTGTTCTCATTCGCCTGCCTCCCCTCCAGGGCGTTCATCGGAACGTGGCACACTCGGGGGGCGCGTCCACCCTTCTGGGCCACCTTTTTCCATGGGAGGGGTCACTGCACAGGGACAGCCACTGTCACCTGAGTGGAACCCTGAAGGCTTTGATGATGACCCGCAGACCCCGTTGGCCATGCCAGGCACGGCATGCTCTCAGGAACGGCGGGAAGGATGGAGGAAGAGTCTCCATTCAGAGTGGAACCCTGGAGACCTGGCAGGATATTACTTTTAGGTCAATGTTGGGTCCAGAACCACCCGCCAAAAGGAACTTAACCTTTCATATATATGGTTGTGCATGTCACAGACAGCTCTGTGTGGTGGGGAATAAGAGGTTAAATCCATGGAGCATAAGAGCTAACAAAGATATAAAACCACGGTCCGAGGGTCTCGGCACGCACCTCCCAGGAAGGGAGTCTGCCAGACATGCTCCTTCGGACGCATTTCTTCTGTAAAAAGGAAGAGAGAAAGAAAGGAAAACAGAGGAGATGCTGCGATCCGGAAAAATGAAGGAAGGCTTTTCTTAAAAAGGTAAAGTAGGTGATTTTTGCCTAGCGGAAAAATGTCTTAATACTTTGAAAAGCACGGACCCTTTGTTCCCAATTAAACTTTCCTTTGTCACCCTTCTTTGCATTTTGCGAGCACATGTACTTTGGCACCTTTGAAAAGAAACTTTAATAAATAAGGGACGAAAGAGAAACTCATTAAGTGAACGGTAATAAATAACAATAACTTAAATCTCAATAAATATCTTTTCTCTATTTTCCGTTATCTGAAACAGATGCATTGCATCGAGTAGCTTCTCTGGTCACTGGTGACCACGCGCAGCCGGAGCTGGGGTGTATGTAACGTGTCTCTCTGTAAACCGACAGCCGCGGGGTCTCCCGGCCCCGGGAGGCAGGGGCCTTCCCCGCTCGCTCTCCTGCAAGAATGCTGCCGGAAAAAAAAACACAATGCAACCCGTTTCCTGTTTCCAAGGCCTTAGAGGAAACACTCGCAGGTTGGTTTTTAGTCTTGAGGACAGCCTTTTTGGTTCCTAGCCAACTTCTACCCACCCCATGAACCAAGCTCCAGAGAACCACCAGCCGGCGGCTCCCTGCACACTGGTGGGAGTAACCCTCAGGCCCCACCTTTCAGATGCAAAGGTTACTGTCTCTGTGTCTTTGCCTCCCGTCCACCCCCCTCCTCCCCGGGCATGTCTGCACTGAGGGACACAAAAATAAACCTTTCTTGCTTTCAGCAGTAAAAACGCAATGACAAGGAATGACACCAGGATTCCATTTCCCCGGTGTCTCCAGATGTGTGAGAACAGGCCACAGGAGACACACCGGCTTAGTGTCAAGTGCATCTGCAACTGTGCCCGTGACTGGTGGGCTGGTGGGCTGGTGCCGGTGGGCTGCATCAGATGAAACCATGGCAACCCCACCCCGGCCCCAGGGTCACCAGCCCTGGGCCTCTGGTGGCATCGGCTGTTGTCCGGGAGAATCCAGACGCCGTTCCCTCTCCTGTCCAGGTCTGTGTAGCTGGATCTCTCTGTCCCAGGCTCCCACACGTCTTCTTCCTCTCCTCCTCCTCCTCTGCCTTGGTCCTCATCTTCCATTCTGGGCAAACCTTTCCCGGGAACCTTGGTCCCTTTCTCTGCACCGCAGCAGGAATGCATACACAGCGGTCTCTGGAGCCGGGGTCAGACACAGCCACACTTCTTGGCGGAATGCTTCCTCAGGATATGGTAAACCAGGTTGTCGTCCAGAAACGACAGGTCGTCGTCGAAGGCGATGGGCCTGCAACAGGCCTGCCCCGCCTTGTCACTCACCAGCCTCCGGCTCCTGGACAGGTTCTTTAGGATTTTGTCGTACATCGTCTCGGCGGCCTCGCAGGAGCCGCTGCAGTACCGGAAGATCAGCTCCTCCTTGGTTTCATAGCCCAGACCCAAGTCCGTGACGTTCAAGTGGATGGAGGTGAGGACGCAGCCCCGGTTCTTGCCCCTGGGGCCCCGCCGGCCCTTCCCTCTGGGGCTCTCCGGGTGGGCGGGGCCGGCAGCCTGCCGATTACGCTCCCTTCTGGGCAGCACGGCCATCTGTCTTTCCGGGGACCGTTTCAGTCTTTTAATGGTGGCCTGAATAAAGTCCATGACGTCGTCAAACTGGTCAGGATAATCCTCTGGCATAGTGGCTGTTCAACGAGAAAAGAGGAAAGAGAAAACGTGAGACAGTGACCTTGACCATTGCCAGCGTCTTCTAGACCCAAGTGCCGCCTGAACTCTGCCAGGACGGGACGCACGGCAGAGCCAGCAGCCCGGCCAGTGGAGTGACCACTGTCCCCCTCCTCCCTTCCCCCCCTGCAGAACAGCCGACAGGCACCCTCCAACACTCCGAAGGAGGGACATGGTTCTGTTGAGAGAGACTGAGCCGTGGGTGGCACACTTTCTTGTAGAAAACATCCTTAGAGGCACAGTTTTCATTGGGATAACATGTCCATTTTTAACATGTTGCTGTGAGCAGGCTGGTCCTCAGAGCTGGTTTTCTAGACTAAAAATAGCCTAGAATAGTAGGTCACAAACTGAGAATGAGTCAAGGTGCTCCCCCAAAAGGCAGGCTCCTATTCTTAGGGGTGGGTAAGTGGGGGGCCGAGGAGTCTGCAGCTTTTACCAGACCCTGGAGGGATGCTGATGCAGGCGCTGCATGGAAAGCCTGGGCAAAGAATTTTCTGGATCAGAGTCTCCCAACCTGGCTACTATCCAGCGGTCCTCCCTGACATCTCCCCCACCTACCCTGTTTCCCCGAAAATAAGACAGTGTCTTATATTATTTTTTTCTCCCAAAGTTGCGCTAGGTCTTATTTTCAGGGGATGTCTTATCTTTCTATGCGCTAGGTCTTATTTTCGGAGGATGTCTTATTTTCGGAGAAACACGGTAACACTTCTGCGCAGTGGAGGGGGCCGGAATAGTTCTGATGGAACAAATGAAAAGCTCATGAAGGCAAATCTGTTTTAAAACTTCCTGAAAAAAACCACAAAGAGACTGCAGGACAGATTACTTTTCACTAACAAAGAGGCTAATTTACCACTTTCTTGGAACAGCATGAGATTAAAAAAATATATGGTAATTCTGTAAGACGACAATGACATGTGTTGGCCGTAAGTGGGAGGAGATGCAGTGTGTGCACACGTGGAGTGGGACCCTGGGTGGGCCCAGCCGCTGCTGCAGGCTGTCACATGACTCCACTGTCTTTGGTTAAAACAGGACAAGACCTGTGGCCTTCGGGACATCTATTGCATGGAGGGATGAGGAGGCCCTGCTACAATGTCTGAGCCCTTTGGGTAGAAGCAGGAGTTTGCTGCCTTTGAGTGTTTTCTGCTGTGTTTCGGCATTTGCTTTCACTGGTCAAGTGAGAGAGGGTCAACCATTTTAACACGTTAATACATTTCTGAAAGAGGTGAGTAATTCGAATGCCCGTTTATTAGGTGCCAGAACTTTTATGCTCTCCTCATCCCATTTTCAGAAGATTTAGTCTGTGTAGGGTTATACGTGCCTTAACAAAATATACCACAGAAGAGCTGTTAGCAAGAGTGACTGTTTTCTTCCAAGACTGTGATAGAGTAGGAAAGGATTACATTGTGCCTAACCCACATCCAATTGTCCTGTCATGAACTGATTGTACCAGGTATCAGGTATCCTATTGTGTACAACAATCCAGCTGACATGACTTAACCACAGCCAGCTATCTATCATCTATCTATCTATCTATCTATCTAGATATAGACTATAATATAATATAATATAATATAATATAATATAACATGAACTATAATAATGGACAGAGTGGGATTAGTGACATTCCCAGAGCACCCAGGTACCCGATGTCTAAAATTTGGCACTGAGGAGGAACCAAGATTGCGGCATAGGTAAACACCTAAACTGCTGCTTCCCACAACAATTTCAAAAATACAGCTAAAAGATAAAATTTGGCACTGGACAATTTTGCTGCCCAGAAGTCCTGAAGTTACTCCACCCCAGCCTATGCCCCGTCTCATCTCCTGCCAGGATGACTGCCTTGTCCCCACCTTACCCTCCTCATGCCCATTTCCCACCTGAAGCCAGAGCAGCACTCTTAAAACTGTGCATGCTTCTCTCATCCCTGCTCTGCCCCACCTCACCAATGGCTCCCATTTCTCTCGGGTGGGAGGGGGGGAAAAGGGGGGCTGAGGCCCGCCCTGAGCCTGCCTTGCTCTCCCCCAGCCCTTGCTCCCTCAGACCGCACCTTCCCCTCCCAGCCTCCCTCCAGCATCCCTGGCCTCCTCATGTTCCTCAGACACAGGGTTTCTCAGTCTTGGTACTACTGGCATTTTGGGCCAAATCATTCATTCTTGGCTGTTGGGGGCTGACTGGTGCATAGTAGGATTTTTAATGCATCTCTGGTCTCCATCCACTGATGCCAGTAGCGTGCCCCCCCTTCCCCCCTCCAGGGACAGACTAAAGGGCCTCCAGACATGGCCAAATGCTCCTGGTGACAACATCGTGAGGGCTGAGAACCATAAACCAGACTGGAGCGGGGACTCGGGCTGCTCCCTCTCTGCTGGAACACTTCCTCAGAGCACCTCATGGCTCCCCTCCCACATCCCCTTCAACTCCTTTTTCAGATGCCCCCCACCAAGTTCCACCCTATCTGTTTAGAACGCACTCTCCCCCAAGCCCCCATCCAGGCCCTGCTGCCCTCCTGCCCCTCCTGCCTGCCACAGGGATGCCCTGGTGCCCCACCTACCGGTCTGCAAGTCATTTTCCACCTGGGAGCCGAGCTGAAGAACCAGCTGCAAGCGGACCTCCCCTCCCCAGCCTCCTGCATCTTTCCAGCCTTAGGGCGCATGCCCACCTCCTGCACCCCAGTCCCGGTTTACCCAGCAGGACTGAGGAGGGAGAGGGTGCTGGGCTGTCACTTCCTCCGACACTTTCTAACTGCACCTCCCTAGGAAGCATTCTTTTTTCTTAAAACAAAACTTTAAATCTGTCTAATGTAAAGAAATGAATTACTTATTTTGAAAAATGAGCTGCTTATGCTGTTTGTGATTGTTTTCCCCAGTAAGGTGTGCTCAGTTTCAGACATCCATGCTTGAACTTCTAAAATGGCTGTATTCAAAGGGCGATTAATCAAGAGAAGTCTTCCAATTGTAAAAAAGGCTCTTTGTTTCACAAAGGACTCCCAGGATGGGAGCCACTGAAGAATTCCCGAATAGATCATTAACTTACAATCCTGGGAACACAGAACGTTAAAATCAGCTCAGAATCAGCTGGAGATTAATTACCAATGAGGATGAAACATTACTAAGATGTTAACATAAACTAACGGGGGAACATTTGATTTACTAAAGTTCAACTAGGCTGGTGTAGAGACTCATTACTTTATATGACATGAGAAATTACAATTTCATGTGGCTACGGTTATAATAATGACTTGATTCAGCATTTATAATGTTCTTATTTATTACCAGATACTTTCAAAGTTCCTGACAAACAGGTTCCCTCCTGTTTAAGACATTCTGATTGCAAACCTTTTTCCATTGGCTTTGTCGCTAGACAAAACACCGAACACTTATTTAAACGTGAGTTTCTGATAAATAGTAGATAGATTTTCAGCATAAGCATTCCTCCATAATGTCTGGGTCATACTTAAACTTCATTATGAGACTATTTATAGTCCTTTTATCCTTTTTAAAAATGTTTTTATTGGTTTTAGATAAAGAAGAAGGGAGAGGGAGAGAGATAAACATCCATCCGCTGCCTCCAGCATGCTCCCCAACTGGAGATGGAGCCCAGAACTGGGCATGTGCCCTGACGGGGATCCAACCAGTGACCTCTAGGTGCCTGGGACAACACTCAACCAGCTGAGCTACGCTGGCCAGGGCCCCTTTTCTCTATTCCAAGGGCCACTTGGGCTCTTTGGGATGATGTGAGTGGCGGGGTAATTGCACCAACCACATTGGCTTTTGGGGGAGGGGTTCCCTGAATTCAAAGGCCGCCTGGCACAGGGACGCAGTTGAGAAACATTCGATGTGTTATTGAGGAGTGCAGTGAATGAGGCCTTCTCCTTTCTGTGGGAAAACCTCCCTCACACTGTTGTCAATGTGGGAATATTGATTTAAGTCCCAAGTTCAGGCCACAGGCGACTCTTCCTGAACTGAGGACTCCCCCTCCTCCCCTTTCTTCTTATTGAAAAATAGAGAAAAAGGTATGTATGCTGAGAGTTTTACAAGGATATATATACATTTTGGGAACCAGAAAAGGGCAACCTTATATTTTCTAAACCACGGAGTAAAGAGTCCTGTCCCTTCCAAGTCAATTCCCGTTTCCGGGCCTATGGATGCTGACTGAGTTCAATCATAGAGCGGCCTCAGCACAAGGTATGTGGGGGGCCAGGAGCCAAGCACCTCACTGAGCCTGTCCTCCGACCTCCTGCTGAGAATGCCTGAAGCCCTGCGCTGCCTCAGTGTTCCAGGAATTCCCCAGCTGAGGGGCAGACAGGCGCTGGGCTTTGGAAAGGTTCCCTACATTAAGACCTAAAGTCATATCATTGTGTTCTTTATGCTGTAAAGGGCTTGGCAGACTGTCAGCTACACGACTGGCCCTCCTTAGTATTAACTTTGATAGTAAAATACCTGCAAACTACAAAAGAGGGCAATCTTTTTTAAAAAACACACACACAACCAACAAAACACTTGCTCACTTCCCAGACCAACTTGGGGGAGAGATCTTGGTTGGAAAACAGGTCCTTCTAAAAGCTCAAGTTTTTGCCCTAGCCGGTTTGGCTCAGTGGATAGAGCGTCAGCCTGTGGACTGAAGAGTCCTGGGCTTGATTCTGGTCAAGGGCACATGCTCGGGTTGTGGGCTCAATCCCCAGGGACAGCCCTACAGGAGGCAGCCCATCCATGCTCCTCTCTCATCACTGATGCTTCTGTCTCTCCCTTCCTCTCTGAGATCAATAAAAAAAATATTTAAAATATATAAAAATAAAAGCTCAAGCTGTTGAAAAATAAAAATACCCAAATGCACTTAAGTTGTTTTTCAGTTTGCAACCGATTATGCTGGCATCGTTCTATTTAAAATATTTCCCCGTCGATGTGCCCTTTGTGCGCACAGTTATTTAAACACATGGGGCCTTGTGTGGGGGCAGGATCCCAGA